ATATGTTTGCAGTATAATTGCTAGGCAAATTAAATGCTTGCAGGAAATATTTTAAAGTTTCTATATACTGTTAAGGAACAAAAACTCATTGAGTGAACCGATTCAAGTTTTCTTGGATTAGTTGGTGTCTAAGGTAAGGTTTAGGGGTTGCGTAACGCGCTCTGCAAGGAACGATATACTTAATTGATCTTTGATCAACCTCTATTACTATCCTTACCTGGCTAACTACCCGGGTAAAACTTTAACCTTTTCACTTTAGGAGTTTTTGGTTTGGAATAAGAGGACCGAAATTATGAGAAAAATTCATATGCATTTATTCAATTACGCTTCTTGCATCATATATTCCTAATAATAAATGATCAATATATGAGCGACCAAATCAAAGAGGTGCATCTTTTAAAATTCTATTTTATATGATGGATTATATTTCAAATCTTCAAATGTAAAGTTCATCTCCTTTATTGCATCATGATGGATATTGCAATAAATGTTCATATGTCTTTTTAGATAACTTGCATTTGTTACATGATTAATTACAAGGTTTTATGCAAGAATAAAGCACGTTATTATTATTATTATTATTATTATTATTATTATTATTATTATTATTATTATTATTATTATTATTATTATTATGTGTTTAAGAGGTGGTACTAGAAAATGGCAACATAAATTTGGAAGGTCTCTTTTAAAGGCAACCAATTTAAATTTGGAAAGTCTCATTTGTAGGCAACCGATTTAAATTTGGATGGTCCCTTTGAAGGCAACCAAATTTGCAACCTCTTATAATAGAAAATTTTAAAAAAAATTGTGTATATGTAGTATGATGTATATTTTAAGATACGAAATCCTTTTATAAGGTTCTCCTTAATGCTTTGCATGTATCTATTAGTAATGTTATTCTTATATGTGCATATGCATGCATGTGAAGATATAACTAAAGTATTTTAGTTCTCTTTAATGCAGTTACATTTTCAGACATAGCATACGATCTTTTATGCTCATAAACCATGACCTTTTATGCTTACATGTTGCATTCAAAAATGCTGTTTAATTTTCTGGTTGCTAAATTGATTCCTTTATCTTTTGAACTCTAAAGGTTCTATTAGCAATGTTGGGATTTAGTTCTTTAAATATACAACATATTGTGTTCCCAAAGAACCCGGAAATAATGACAAACCTTTTTGTACTTTTGTTTTCTATTCCTTCCTTGATAATATTTGATCATTACAATTTCTACTTGACATGAGCACATATCAAATTTGTTTAGACATTTAAAATGAAAATGTCTAATTATTATAATCCATTGTTTATTGACTAGAGACATCAATAACTATGCTAACATGTTTTGATAGTGACTAAAAGAATCATTTTATAGCTCTTCATTTTACTACATGTATAATGCTTTCTCTTGACATTTCAGGAAATGATTAGAGTTGATATAAATATGCTCTGTCAACTAGTATGTCTAGTTACAGGATATGTGATGAATCAATGTCTTAAAAATCAAATCAAGAGGTATATCTTATAACTTCTATCTATATGATAAATAAAAGTTCAAAATCATTGAAATTAGTCCATTAGATAGTTAAAAATTACTATTAGGCTCCTTATCCTTATAAGTTGTTTCAAATTAATCTCTCATCTTGCTACTTGTACTCTTGTCTGGAGAGACTAATTTTAAAGAAGGACCTAATATCAATTTCAAACAATATGAAGGACTAATTACAAAACAAAATAAGAACTTGATAAATAAATACAACGTCTGATAGGCAAAGTTGTGATCTTGGACTTTGTAAAGTCTGAGAAAAATATTGCTGACCCTTTGACTAAGGGATTATCCAGGAGTGTGGTTCTGGATTCATCGAGGGAGATGAGGTTAAGCCCATAGATGAGGTCACTGACAGCGGCAACCTAACCCTTATTTGGAGACGTAGTCCCAATATTGGTTCAATGTGGTAGAAACAAGCTGGACAAGTGACTCTCGCGTGGAGCATCGACCTAGATATATTTATATATTTTTATGTAGCATTTGCTACTACCCCTTCTCTATGATGACGATGCTTTTATGATACAACTGGCTAGGCTGAGTTTTACTCTTAATAAGTCAAACGTGTGTATTGTGGGGGGTATTAAATAAACAACTGTAGTACCCTTTGAGGACTTACCTACGTGAGAGGAACTGTGATGGCCACGGTTAGGGGGGGCTGGGCTAACCCCTAGAAACTCTCATGAGTCGGTTTATTGTGAGCGGGGGGGGGGGCAAGGCTGACCCCTAGAAACTCTCTTGAGTTGGTTTATTGTGAGCATGACCTTTAACGCTCAACCCGCTTTGCTCAATAGATGAAGACGTATTGTGTGTGTGTGTTTTATCAATACCTGATTCAAAGGGCCTAATTCAAGGCTTAGTCCATTATGTCCCTCAGGTGGCGATGAACTCACTAAGGAAATGTTCAAAACCGAAAGCTACCTCTCCCGAATTCACGATATGTAAGGTTGCTCAACCTATTTTCTTTTTGTGATTTATTGATTTTGAGTTTTCAGTCAATATTGCCTTTTGGGGGGACTGTTGGATATTTTGTTGGAGAAAAGGTAATTTTGCCTTAATGAATACTAATAAATTTTGTAATTAAAATATGCTTTAATTAGAATTTAAAATGAGCATAATGGCTATACATTATGACAAACGTTACGGAATTAATTACGGGTTTTGTAACGTCTTTTCCAACCCTATATATATATCCGTATTTGTGGATGATCCGCTCCGTTGAACTTGATCTACATATTCTAAAACCCCAACACACCAAATTTGGTGTGAACTCGTTGTGGTTTGACCCTCCGTCGAGCCATGTAAAAAGTTCTATTCACTCGAAACCGTTAAAATTGATACGAGTGGATGAATGGTCAAACTACGACGGGTTCACCCCAAATTTGGTGTGTTGAGGTTTTAGAATATGTAGATCAAGTTGAACGGAACGGATCATCCACAATGTAGCTCAATCAAGTGATCATCAATGGATAAGAAACTTAGTGGACGTCCACTTAAGTTGACAGAAGTTTTGCTCTCTATATATATATCCGTATGTTGAGCTCAAAATAATAAGAAAAAATATACAACAAGTTTATCTTGTTTTTCTTCTCCCCTACATATTATTTTCATCTACATCTTAATTTTATTTTATGGGCAACTTCCTTCATCTGAGCTGAAGCTCTGCACTCTCGCCCGAGTGCAGAGGCCGGTCGTTTCCGGGGGCTTTTACCGCTAGGGGGGAGGGAACCATCTGCGCTAGGGCGATAGGCGGGTTCTCAATCTTCTAGGGCAGTGAATACACGACTGCTCCCGTCAGGCCTAATTTTTCTTATCTCTCATTTATTTTGATTTCGGATTTATTTCATGCTATAATCTTAATTAATTGATAAATTTTTCCAACATAACCTCAATTAGATTTAACAGAAAACCCCTAAAATTGATACAAGGCTAAATTCTAGAAAAAATGACTAAAAATACTCCTTTGCCTTTAGGAGCATTAATTAACTTGAACCAACATGTCAGAATCAAGGAACTTCAAATAATTGGGTTTTAGCTATTAGATGTTCCTTAAATCAAAGGTATTTTCTTGGGGCGGCTTAGTGGGTCGCATGACAAAGCCGTGTCGCTCACTCGTGGGAGGCATGTGTTCGATTCCTATCTTCGCCAAAAGCGCCATAAAAACAAAACTTAAAGAAAAATATCATAGGTATTTTTTGTATTAGTCCCTCAAATCTTCATATTTAATATTAGTCCCTCAAATACCACTAATATGTTAGATATTAGTGTATATGATTAGTGGAAGTTATAAATACAGGGGAAAATATTCTATTTTCTTCAACATTAGGCATTAATGGACAATTATGTCCATTTCTACCAAAACCCAAACCCAAACCCACAACTTACTAATCTCGAACCTATTAAGAAAATAGTTTCATCTTTTTTCTTTCCCCAATGATAAAATTGTAGCGAACCCATTAAAATCAACGATTCTTTTATTGAAATATTTTCAAAAGGCCGTTGATACTCCACCGCACTCCATATTTCATCTTCTAGCTTAGACCCTCAAACCCGAGTGAACTGCCAATTTTGAAAATGAAGTTCTCGAGTTCAACTTCAGTCGGCGGTGGTGTCAATGTGGAGGGGGCTAACACTAATTATAGTTCACTTTTTTGAATGGTGAAATTAATTAGAGAGTAGCATCAACATAGTAGTGGTTTTTCAGAGACTATTATCAAAATACCTATGATTAAGGGACTACTACCTGAAAGGATAATTTGTATCTAAAAAGATTTAATATTAGTCCCTCAGATTTTCAATTATTTCATAATGGTCCCTCAAATCCGAAGGGTCTTGCAATTTGGTCCTCACTGACCAAAATACCCATTTGTTATGATTTTTCACTTAAAACCAAACTTGTTAAAAAAATGGTTTTTGTCACATTGATACCCTAAGATCTACACCTTTCTAACTTTAATACCCCAAATATTTTTTTAACATTTTGATACCCTAAAGTTTACACCTTTTTTAACTTTGATATTTTGAAGTATTTTTTGTGACACATTTGTTACAACAAAATTTTACCTTTTAAACTTTGATACCCTAAAATTTTATTTTTGACACTTTGATACCTCAAGCTTTAGTATATCAAAGTTAAAAAATGTATAAACTTTGAGGTATCAAGTTAAAAAAGGCGTGGAACCTTTCGGGTTATGAACGTTGAAAAATATGTAAACTTTGGAGGTATTAAAGTGTTAAAGAAAGTTTGGTGTATCAAAGACAAAAAAAAGTGTACACTTGGCGTATTAAAGTTTCAAAAAAAAATTTGGGGTATAAAAATTAATATTGTGTAAATTTTAGAGTGTAAAATTGCAAATAACCCTTTAGAAAAATATTAGCTGACGGCATTCTGGCCAATGAGGGACCAAATTGTAATAACTCTACGAATTTCACAGATTTGAGGGAGTAATATGGAATTATAGAAGTCAAGGGGCTGATATTTTTGGGCCGAGCTTCAGATTTCTTCCCCAAGTTTATCGATCTCAATTGCTGATCTCCTTCCTCCTCCTCTGATCTCAATGGATCCCCAATTCCTCGGCGGCGGTATCAGCAGCGGAGGCGGAGGTTGGATGATGATGCCGACACCAAATTCATCATCATCCATTATGAGCCCTAATCAGACTCACGAATCTCATCACTCTCTCATCAATCCCCAATACCAACTTCAACATCATCAACAACACCAGCAGCAGCAGCAATTTCAGCAGCAGCAGCAGCAATTTCAGCAGCAACAACAGCAGCAGCAATTTCAGCAGCAGCAGCAATTTCAGCAGCCACAACAACAGCAGCAACATCAGTCTCTGGCTTCTCATTTCCATCTTCTTCATGTGAGTTATTTGGTCTTACGAAAGAATTAAGTTTTGGAGGATGAACTGGGGGAAATTTTTTGGACTCTTTGCAACTTTATATGGCCTTTATTTCTTTTTACTACCTGAAATCAATTATGGGTTATCAATAAGTTGTTATAACTAATGACTTCCAGATTGTGTTCTCTTGGACATATAAAATGGTAAAAAATTGGAACATATTGATTGTATATCATGCATCGCAAGCTAATCTGCAAACTTATGAACATCAATTTGACAGTGATACATCAAGTTTTAATGTGCTTCATATTTTTGATTATTTCTATCTATACTATGAGGGACAACCGAACCGAAGTACTGCAAAATTAGATTTAAGATAAGCAAGATGTTTGTACTTCCCAAAATAACAAAGATTAGAAATTTACCACCTATCTCATACCTATTTGGATTTAAGATTAACTTGAAATATAAAAAGTTTCATATAAAATCTGTGATACATGGAGGAGATCATGTGTAACAAGTAAAGGCAGAGAAGAATTAGGTGTTCAGTGAATTCTTCAGCTGCAACCATGTTTGTGGGAAAATTTGCTGTAAAAAGAATGAAGGAAATTTGATTTGTATTCCTTAATCTCAATTACAATTGGATTTCCCGATTACAAAAGAGAAAAGAATGATCTGGATTCTCTCCTTTGTTTAAAACTGGGTTCTTCTTGGTAGCGATGGAATGCCTCCTTCGAATGTTTGCGTCGAATTTGCTTTCCGTTGACGATCCAACCGTCTTTATCTCGTGGGAACGATGAACTTGTATGACAAGTTTGATTTAGAACTCTTAATGAGTTTCCAAACTCAGAGCGAGTTGAAAACTTTGAAAAGAGTTGTTGAAACCGAATGATCGGTTAATAGCCAAATAGATTTGTTTGTTGCTGAAGAATCCTTCGAGATTTGACTTCCTAGCTGCCAAGCAGTTCTTTGGTCTCCAGCGATCTCACCCCCTCTGCCAAAGAATCCAACCTTATGCGGTTTTGATCTCAAAATCTTCAACCCCTTACTCAGTTGAGTAATGCGGTTACTTATAGGGGGATAAGGGGTGTAACCAACCCCTAAATCCGCTCCTAAGTGGGCGAAAATCCCTCAAAACGTGAGATAAACGGTTTTGAGGCCGTTCAGCTCGTGTTTGAACAAGTCAAACGCCTAAATTGGCGTTCTGGGCTTTTAACTCTGCGTCTTAGACTTGAGACGCAGAGTTATATATCCGCTAAAGATTGAAAACGCACTGGCCGCTTACGTTCTGAGTCTTAACTCTGCGTCTTAGATTTTAGACGCAGAGTTGAGTGTCTGATAGAATTTGGAGACGCACGGGCCGTTTGTATGTCGGGTCTTAACTCTGCGCAGAGTTGGGTGTCTGCTGAGGAACGCACAGGCCGCATGCGTTTTGAGTTGAGAAGTGCAGAGGTGGACTTTGCGTTTGGAAGAGGTTGTTGATTTGTAACTTCTTCTATTACAGTATTGCGAAGACTATTGTTCGTTGATCTTTGCTTTAGCTGTTATGGGGTGTGAAAGTCGTCAGATTGTAACTCTCACAGTTGATTGTGAAGGCTACTGAACAGAATTTTTATCAGTCGTCGGAAGTGTCGTTGAATTGTAACTATTCTCAATCTATGTGAAAAGTCCTCCATTTGTAGCTTTCATTTGTTGACATGAAAGTCCTCTGATTGTAACTTTTATTATTGAAGCTTGATGGGGATCAATTATCTATTGTGATTTTTAGACAGCCTACAAACCATACATTACATACCAATATAGGCATATGTTAGAACTCTTTTAAGAATGGAAAGCGACATGTGAAACTTTTTATGTGGATTAAGGAGGGAAAAGGGTCTGTGAGGTTTCTGGAGGTGTTGGAGGATACTTATTACTCAAAGTTGAGCAGCCACGAAATGTGGTGTTATTAATTTTAATTGTGAGGATACTCTTGCTGTCAAACTGGGAGGGGAACTTATGTGCTTAGCTCCCATGGACCCTGCTTTAGCCTCTCTGCATCACTCTGGGTTCCATTTCATCTAACATTTTATAATTCGTTGGCCTCAGGCACGCAGGTTGCTTTGAGTTGAGGCCATCATAATATCAATATAATTGTGCTTATTGATGGAATAGGATACAACTGAGATGATAGAAACTTCTTATGATGAAGATTAACATGTTACAACTATTCAATCAGTTTTCTGGATTTTAACAGCTTCAAGATATATGAAAATTAATGGTTATTTCTCATTTGGTTCCTAGTCTTTTCATGGACAAATTTTTAAAAACATCCATTTTTTAAAATTAAATAGCAAAATCGACTTTTTTAGAAAAAATCAGCAAAATCGACCCTTTTCAGATGAAAAGAGTCGATTTTGCTGATGGGCGTTTTTTGGAGATGGACGGGACTACTAGTCCCGTCCATTTCATTGTCTACCCGTGACCCCCCTGCCCCCTCAAACATCGCACCCGTGACTCCCCAATGAGTTAAAACTTACAACTCAATAGTTTATTTGCTACCACATCTAAAATCCATGTCGGTTTCACAATGGGGAGCCCTTGGCTAAATGCCCTGAAACAAAAACACACACCTATCCCAAATTCAAATAGCAAATCAATCTCAAAATAAGGTCCAATCCAAAGACCAACCTAAAGTTCTTTATTTTTCTATCGGGCAAGTTGCTACAAATAATATGAGTCACCCGATGCCTCGAGAAGTAGTTCTCGAACTGGCCACCATGCTTCAGCATGAAATCCTTAAGCTCCTGACTCAAAGGAACTGTGAACCCGTTAATGAAGACCGAGACACCGCGAAAGATTCCCTTTTCCATTCCTCCGCCGCCGGGGTTTTCACTGGCAAGAGAGGAAGAGGAAACGACGGCGGCGGCGAACTGCTGCCTGAGCTTCCGGTTCTTTTCGATCATGTAACTGGATGGAGGAAACAGATTGGTGATAGAATCAGGGTTAGGGTTACAGTTAGGGTTAGGTTTGAGATGAGTACCTTCCAAAATCGGTGAAAGGGAATTTTTTGAAGTGCTTCTTCTTGCTGTTGTCGGAAATAGGGTTTGGGGGTCTGCCTCTTTTTTTGGTGGAAGACGATGAGGACACGGAGTTAGAAGGGGAGTCACAGGTGTGGTGTTTGAGGGGGCAAGGGGGGGTCACGGGTAGACAATTAAATGGATATGACTAGTACTGGTCTCGTCCATCTCCAAAAAAGCGCCCATCAGCAAAATCGACCCTTTTCATCTGAAAAGGGTTGATTTTGCTATTTTTTTTCTGAAAAGGTCGATTTCGCTATTTAATTTTGAAAAATGGGTGTTTTCAAAAATTTGTCCTATTTTCATGGATTTTATGATTTTCCATTTGAACTTGTAATAGTCTTTTATCGTATCATGATTGCTTATTTAGCTGTTATGTAGTATGAAGCTCGTGTTTTTATACATATTAAATTCTGAAGTGTTGGTGCAGTATCTTTTCACTCACATAGTCACTTAATACTTGGTAATGGTTTTATTTTTACGTGTAATATAAAAAAGTAGAAAACATCTACTTGCTGAAGTTTATGCTATATAAGGAATTCCTTCTTGAGGAGGTAGGGAGGTAGAGGAGCGGATAATTAAATGAAACAAGCTAGGAGGAGTTATTAGAGGCGAGAGTTTGGCATCAGGTGAAGATCATGGTGGGAGCACTAGTTGAAAATGCTTTGTGTAGTGATGTATGTTTGCTTGTAGCTGGATGTGCTACGCTATCCCATCTGAATGCAACGTCAACCATTGATGTTGGTGTGCAACACCATTGTTTGAACTCCACTACGGCTTTTGCAAAACCTCTTTGGTCTCTTGTATCGGTGGAAAGGAAGAAAACGACATTTATAAATATAGTTGTTGATGTGGCCTTCATGATGCTGGCAATATTTCATCCTATTCTGCATTGTTCCCAAACAACAGTAATGAAATATATATATAATAGTTGAAAAAAACCCGTTATATAACCCGTTTTGTAACTTAACGGTGCCCTCTTGTTATGTAACACATCCATTTAACGCTGAAACAATTTAATCCAGAAAAAACATGTTATATTGCGTTAAATGTGCGTTACATTATATAACCAGTTAACATGAGTTTTTTAAGGTTAAATTGCATCTCTAATTAGGACGGTGGATTCATCTCCACCATCCAAATTATTTAAACTCTACCCCTTTTAGTCATGATCACCCTATTCTTTTCCTGCAAATATGCGATCTCTTCGCCTCCTCCAACCAAACCTTAACTCCTTGCCTCCTTTTAAACTCCACTGGCTATCCGTGGCTTCTGTGACTCCGGTGAGATTGTTTTTTTTATTTTTCAGTTATGTATTGAGCATCTTAGATTATATCGTTTAAATAAATAGTGATTTTAAAATTATCTTCCAAATTTCAATATTTTCTATTGCCAATTTACCCTAAATCATATCAAACTTGCTGCTCTATTTTTACCATTCAACATAACTTTTTAAGATCTACCACAGAATTAGAGTACAGTGATTAATTAGTGGGTTAATTAGGTTTTAATTTTTAGTTTTCAGCTAATGCTAAATATTATATAATTAAGTTTGCACATAATCTCTGTATATAATTTCTTACTATTGTTACATTGTCATGTTTACTTTGGTTGATTTAGTGAACTTGATTAGGAATTAGAATATTTTTGTAAAGTTAAGAACTTGAGAGTTGGAAGTGTTTGGTTTATTTTAGACTTATTTTTATTGCCTTAAACTTGACGACGTTAATGTATTTAATCATTTGATGATGCTTTTTGGGATGGTTGTTACTTGTTAGTCATATATGGCTAACTTTTGTTAAGTATTTGTGATAGTATATTTTTATATTTGATCATTGTGATGTATGTTTGAAAAGTTTGATGATTCTAAGTATTAAAGTTATTATGAATTGTTAGTATTTATAAAATATTTAAATAATTAATAAACAATATAATCTACGTTATGTGTTATGTTTTTTTTCCTGAACTCTTAATAGAAGGTCAAGCGTTACATAACCCATTTTCGTTATTTTCAACATTGATACATACACACACATTGGGGGGTGGGGTGGGGTGGGGTGGGGTGGGCCAATGTTAAGAACTTTTGATTAACAAAGTCTATCAGTCAGCTATCAACTGTGTACATAACTTTCAGTTGCCCTTGAACACCTAAAGTTTCCATGTCGTTCATAACTGTAGTTTATGGCTAAATATTTATGGATCAACCACCTAGACGAAGGACATGAAGCAAAAATTGGAGGACAGCCGTGCTCAGGATGCATGATGTGTTATGAGGTCTCATTAAAATATTTGTAACTTCTTGCGTGTTAGCTTAGGTATAGTTTGCAGGAAATTCAAAACATAAGGCATGCTACAGTACTTGATACCATGTAAATAAATTAAAGGAATAAACAAAAATCAAGCTAATGCAGTCCAGCCTAAGGTGCTCATGCTGATGAATTTTTTTATTCTACAAGAATTCATGAATTCATTGAATGCTATTAGCAGTAAATTTACTGCTAGGATAATAGCTTAATTTTATCAGGTTATGCTATATGCTAAAGGATATACTCTTATGTAACTAGGTTGATTGAAAGAGAAGTGTATATTAAATTTGAGAAAAATATCCCATCCTGTTCTTTCTGTATCCTTCAACCAGACTTGCAGACAATTTAATAGTTGACTTGAGTTTCTCGACCACCTTTACAAAATATCTTTGAGCAATTATGTGGTTCTTTAGCATGCCTTGTGTAGGGCCTTAGTACACGCTTAATCTTGACAGTTCTTTACTTATTGATCTTTATAAGAGACGCATATGGTACTCTTTTAATTTCTATATGGTTACTTGAAAGCTGAAGTAGTGAAATCACATGCTGAACTTTTGATCTTTGTGCTTTATGTTGTAAGTTATACTACGTCTTCATGACTGAATTTGGATTCAGTATCCTAAGTTCTATTCTTGGTTCCTAATGGTTTTACTTCCTTTCAGTTGGTGGAAAGTTTAGCAGAAATAACTGAAACTGGAACTCGAGACCCGCATTCAGATGCACTGGTAAGAAATTGGCTTTCTGCTAACACACACTTATGCAAATAGATGATTCTTTTTGGATATAAATGTTCCTAACCATCATGATTTGCTTGAAAGCATAGTTTATATAATCTCTAGACTCAAGTACGTTTGGTAAATGTAGCAGATGACTAAAAAAGGTAACTTTACCGTGTACCTTACAAACAAAAGAAACAATCATGATAGCGTTGTGAACTCAGTTAAAGAAACATTATGATTTTTTAATGAATCTGTATCGTCAAAACTCATCTTTCGTTAGTTGTTGACATGGTCAAGGTATTGTTTCTTGTTCTTCCAGGGTTGCACTAGTTCTTATGATAATATATTTTTTTTTCCGAACATAGGATTCAGTCTTTTATGCTTTTGGGATGCTAAATATGTTTCTATGACATCTTGGAACCTGAAGGTCTACAGTCTGAAGTCTGGACCCTGTGCTTTACAGAATGAATACTTTTTTTTGAACCCAAGATATGGGACCATAGTGTGGAACGGCTGAAGGGGAACTATTTTTCCACATTTTTGGCATCCTTTTATATTCCAACCTGGATACATAGAAGCCGTAATTAACGGTAGTCTCGGCATTTTGAAATTAAGGACAGCTTTCCTCTTGTTCACACCCTACTCGCCATTCTTTTTATTTCTTGCGCCTTTGATCTGTTGAATGATGACAAGGAACCAGTGCAAATGAGAGGGGATGCAAAGTCGATTTTTTCTTAATGGGGATTTCTCCTCTTATTATTCTCTAACCCTGGCAAATCAAATCATCGTAAAATCTCAGTAGGTAGATTCCATTAAGGGCTTTCTCTACATCAGTCTAGCTTCTTTCATATAGCAAGCCCCAAAATTTCCGAATATTTTGGTTAGAAAGTGTAAGGCAAAGAAGAAGCAGAGGTATGGTTCCCTCTTGAGCTTCAAAACAAGCAGTGATCTTTTTCATAAGCCCATCTGATCAAAGTTGAAGTGGAATGGACAACGGAGAGGAGAAAGCCAGTTATTGTGAGTGAGAATCCAACAAAAAATGCTACTTTGATTTATTAAAAGATAATGAAATCACATTTCTTTTTCGAATTAATACCAACATTTAAAAAAAATTCAGACGCAGACCATGTCTTGTATATTGTTTCATCAATCAAGACCAGCTAAAATGGGTCAACAGTTCTAATGATCAATTGTAATTGATCGTGTGATCACAATAATTTCATTATATGTTATATCTGGACATGGGAAGACAAAGGTCATGATGTAGGAGTGAGAAGTGGCGCTGCTGATGCCGATGGCGGGAGGCGATGTTTTTCTGCAGATCTTGGATTTGGGCATATGACATTGAAAATTTCTTCTGTTTGTGTTATACTGGAATTTGGAAGGGATGACATGCTATAATTATGAAAATACTCTTAATGCACTATTAGTTTGAGCCAGCTCAATGATGATTTATTGAACACATCAGCAGCCACATCACCTGTCCCTCTAGATCTGTCCTATTTTTGGGTCCTGGTAGCAGTGCTCTTACAGAATAGGATAATGCTTATAAGCATGTATTATCCTCTGAGGCTGACATATTTATTTCTTTTTTTCTTCCACTAGGTTACTGAATTGACCAACCATTTTGAAAAGTGTCAGCAGCTGCTGAACTCAATATCGGGATCTCTTAGCACAAAAGCTATGGTAAGTGGTTTGTCCATACTGGCATCAAATAGACGGGATGAGGGTGACTGGTTAATCCTGTCTCTGTCGTATTACATGAGCTCCTAACTAACTTATCGAAGTGTTTGCTTCTATATTTGTCAATGGTATCTGATCATGACAAACTTCTGTCCGTATCCAATATATAGGCTTTAACTGGTGATATCTGAGCTTATTTTATTGAAGAAGAAACAGAGGAATATATGAAAAATTTAATATCAAGCATTTTTGGTAGTTTATTTCCTAGTGCATTCATCAGATGAGTGTTATTGATGTTTTTCCATGATTACCAAAAAAGAGATTGTTATTTCTCAGTCATAATTTGTGCCAAGCTTGGTATATGCCATATTTGATTCCATGAGAAGTTGAGACCACCATCTTTTTCTGCAGAACTTGAATCAGCGTTTCTGTCATATGGAACACTATCTTCAGGCGTATGTAACTTTGAAACCACACTTTTTCTCAAAGTTTACGCTTCTTGGTTTCATGACCTTCATTCACGAGAGCAATACGGTTGGCTCTCTCGTACTTGCTAGTTGGCTCTCCTGCCAATTGTTCATCTTGTGGAGCCCTATATTCCATTGTGTACTCTAATTTTATGTGAAGGGCTTAGATTATAGCTATGATGATGATGATGATGAATAATTTGAATATAGATTAGATGTTTTTGTAACCATTATGCTGACCATTCCTTTTGTTACGTGTGTTCTATCAGACGGTTGAAGGACAAAAGCGTAAGCTGGAAGAGACTAAGCAACAGCTAAATCAAAGGAGGTTTACATTGCATCAGTGAAACCGTTAGCTGACTTTTGCTAAAAATGGGAAACTTTTTTGGACACTAATTATTTGCTTCTGCTCTGGCTGCTAAAATCATTGCAGGGAATTGATCTCCAAGTACAGAAGTAGCATCGAAGAGCTAGTGACACCGGACAGCAACAGATAGCCCAATGGCTTTTGTTCTCATTTCAGCAGGGGAGACATATAGACAGAAATTTGCAGGAATTTGTAGTTAGAATATTTCTGATATTATGATCGTTGTGAGGGCAGCGGATGAATCTATGTTGAATTCTGTTACATGCATAGTGCCAGCCTAAATTCTTAGCTGAATTACATGACAAATGTTTTTCTACGATTTTCCCCCTTGTCGAAGCCTCTCGGCCTAAATTTCTAATGGGTTTCTTATATTATATGTGCAAAATCCTTATCTATAATGATCTGAGAATTTATGCTTCCAGTTGAAGCAGAGGCTTTTTGTTAGCATTTGCCTCCAAAAGTGCCAAAACGGTGATAAGATAGGTGGGTACTTTATCTTCTCATCATATTGTTCTCTCCAGAATCAGATGCAAATCTCATTGATAGGTGGCTTGATTTACTTCACAACTGTAAGATAACCATTCATGCATTTTCTATTATTCCAAAATTAATGTTACAGATTTCTAAAAATAAAATCAATGAACTGTTCATGTGTTTATTTATGGAGGGAATGGGTCAGCCATAAAAGGACGCAGTGATTAAAACTTACACGCATAGCTATAGCTCTAGCTGCATAAAAGAAAATAGAGAAATTTAACAATTATGCCTTACTAGAATTGATATCTTTTTTTTCAGAAGGTAATTAAATTGATGAATCAGAAGCTAGCTCAAAAACAACTGTCCACGTGCATATGAAGCAACCACTCAGATATTTCTCATTTCCATAATTCTATTTAATGGATCTGATTTTTTTTTTCCTTTACATGCTCGCTCTGTGTAGTCTTTGTTTATTGCACATAAGACCCATTATTGGGGACTTAATTTGCATGGGCAAATCAATAAATACTTGTTAGTAGTGATAGAGAATAATTTGAGGGGACTAAAATGTAAATGTTTAGAGCCGTCGGATCATTACGACGACAAGTAATAAAAGGGCGCGCGTTTTTCTCGTCTCTGTCAGCCTCTCTTTCTCCCTTCGGCAGATCAAATTTCAAGGTAAAAATATCTCAATCGCGCGATTACAATTTTTCCTCGTTTTCTTCTTATTTTATTGTAATTTTATTCGTAGATCTCGCCACCCAGCGATCGGCCTCTGCAATCTGTTGTTCTCTGTATATATTTAGGCTTCTCTCCCAACTTAATCCGGCAAATGAACAATTATTACTGATTAAGGAGTTCGGGCACGATCTAAATTCAGTTTGAAGTTCGTAAGAATCGAAATAAAAACTCACTTAGTTCTTAAGTAGATTTTTCAGCTTTTATTGTTGTTTCAGTCGAATTAGTGCTACTTATTTAAAATTTTTGGTGTTTTTCTTCGATCACTGTGAACTAACCCTAGCAGACTGTGAAGCAGCCTCTAAAATTTTGTTCTTTTGGATTGACTGTTTTCTCATCTCTTAGAAAGTATGAGATCTGTCTTTTTATGGCGTCACAGAAATTTCGTAAAGCTTCAAGCTTCCTTCATATTGTTTGAATAGTGCAAGAGCTTTGATTCAATGTCAAAATTTAGCTTTTTGGTGGATATTTTCATACATATTTTCTGAATTTTAGGGGGAATGATTTGAGGTATATTTTGAATTTCCGTTGACTGAGTGATTCTATTTTTTTAGGTCTCTAGGTTGAAGATGGGCTCGGTACAGAACAACATCAACATGGAGGAAGGAACACTGGAGGTTGGCATGGGTATATCAGGCTTAGACTTTAATTGTCCTATTAGTTCTCAAGGCTATGCTTTATTGCATTTCTTGCTTCCTCCCTAAGATAACAATTTCTAGTATTTCATCCTGACAAAAAATTCAATGAAATTGGTGGTTTAATTTTCATATTTGTCGAATATTGATGCTTGATGTGGGATCATCCTTGCATATATTTTTGTAGAAGATTAAAATATTGTTGGTTGCAAAACTTAGTTTAGTTTCAGTTAGAAAATTAAAAAAAAAAGGAGCAACTTAAGACGTTAATTTTCAAGAAACAATAAATAGTTAATGTTGTTATTGTTTGCCGCTTCGTTGTTAGTGGTTAATATGTGATGTCAACGGAAACCTTGTAAGCCTCCAATGAAGTTATGATAATAATCTGCTTATTCTAAATGGAGGGAGGTTTCAAGGATTTCAGAATGATGTCAGAGTTTCTCATGGTTATGTGACCCTTGGATTTAGCAATTTGCAAATGTTGTGAATCATAAAAATTTTACATGTTGGTATGTGGTGTTTATCCCTTTCCTTTCTAAAATGAAGTGATAGCTAAGATTAGTTTTTTAATCCATGGTAAACTACTGTATGACACTACAGTACAGTGAAATGAGTAATTGAATGCTGTTAGCAATTACTATGCTTTCCTGGTTCCACATTAAACTGGATAATAAATTACTTGATTACAGAAGAAGATGATTTCTCTTGGTAATGTGGAAACTGTCAGCTTGCTTCTTCCCATAATTTATATGGGAAAAAAATAGTGAATGATGTTAAGGCAAGCTTAATGTGTTTAATGCAATGTATTCTATGTTATATTTTCTATACTTTTTGTAACATGTCTTGAAGTTGAATAATGTTTCTATATTATGCTTAATTCACTGTAATTTTTATGTTTGCAATAACTTATATATATGGAAAGCTATAGATTGCATTCTGGGGCTGCTTGAAAAAACATGTATATGATTATTTAAGGTCCTGCAAAGTGCTGATCAAACATTGTTTCTTTTTTCTCCCTTGTGATTAGAGTACAGAACTGTGTCTGGAGTTGCTGGACCGCTGGTAATACTGGAAAAAGTTAAGGTAAGCATTTTGTTATTAGTATTGACTACTTATCAAGCTGCGCTGCAGTAATTTTAAAACCACATTTTTCTTTGGTGTTTATATATGTCCAAATTATGTCAGGGTCCCAAGTATCAAGAAATAGTTAATATACGACTTGGGGATGGCACCACGAGGCGTGGTCAGGTTCTGGAGGTTGATGGGGAGAAAGCTGTAGTGCAGGTTGGTGCTCGTTTATACAATTAAACTTTGATATTTTTTCATTGCCTATATGTCAATCTATCCTTTCGAAGTTACATAGTTTTCCTTGTGAAGTATTGTGGCTATTTTCATGTGCTTTAATAATTTTAGTTAGTTAACCACATGACATTTTGTCTCTATATTTGTATACAGATTGATTGCAAATCTATGATATGTCTGAATGTCTCTAATTACAGAAAAAACCTGACATATTTATTGTTATTTGTTGTCATCTTGGCATTTTAATATTTACGAGGTTGTTACGTCTGTATATGTCCAAGATTTTTGGATCTTCTGTGATTTCTGGGATTCACTACTCATTGCATTATTTACTCTTTTACCTCATGCAAATGCACTTTATACGGTTTTATAACATGACAAGTATCTGCTTTAGTGCTTGTACATCTATTTCTTTTTTTTAATCATTCTAGATATGCACTATTGTCTATGATTTACAAATTCACTTCTTTGTGCTTTTGAAATCTTTTTATTTTTTTTGTTATGCTAGACTAGGTTCATTTGATATAACTTATTTTATTTCTCTGTTTATTTTACAGAATTTTCTCTCTGTTTATCTTACAGAATTTCCATTCCTACAGAATAATTTTTTTTGATATACTGGTTGATTACAGGTTTTTGAAGGAACTTCAGGAATCGATAACAAGTACACTACTGTTCAGTTCACAGGGGAGGTAATCAACCTTTCTCTAGTTGTATTATTCATTATCCTTGAGCCTCATCCTTTCGCTTCTGGCACTTTGTTTTGCACTGTTGTATTGCATTTTCAGTGGGTGAATGTGTGCAGATCTGAAGGATGTGCATTCGATGTATTGAATGTTTAGCTACTACAATTGGTTAAAAGCAACAATTAGTGCACTTTGTAAATCTGTTCTGTTTGTCTGATTTTTTCTAAACTTCTCGACATTGAACCAAAGATGTCGACATTATCTATCCTGTACATGTAGATTTCTGTATACTACTCTGGATGGTACTATAGACTATCGGCAATTTATATCAGTCGGACCATTTCTCTTTTATATATGATCTTTCATCTATTCAGCTCTCTATTTTGTTTGTTGATTTTTATGCACCACCTTTCTCCATGGAGCTTTCTTCTCTGTGAATAAATGCATGATGAGATTCTTGATTATCTATAATGCAGGTTCTCAAAACTCCTGTGTCACTGGACATGCTTGGTCGCATTTTTAATGGTTCTGGAAAACCTATAGATAATGGACCACCTATATTGCCTGAGGCATACTTAGATATTTCTGGTACGTTCGTCAAGAATATAATTTATTTAAAAATCTGACATTAGCTTTTTGATATTGTGAATTTCGTCTTCCATCTTTTTTGACTTTGTAAAATAATGATCTGTTGCAGGAAGTTCTATCAATCCCAGTGAAAGGACTTACCCAGAAGAGATGATACAGACTGGAATATCTACCATCGATGTCATGAACTCTATTGCCCGAGGTCAGAAGATTCCTCTATTCTCTGCTGCTGGACTTCCCCACAATGAAATAGCTGCTCAAATTTGTCGTCAGGCTGGGCTCGTGAAACGTTTGGAAAAATCTGACAATCTCCTGGAGGTATTACAGCCCGTCCATTGATAATGTAAATTAAAATTGAAGTTAGAAGTATTCTTAAATAGCTTGCACGGATTCTTCCCATTGGTCCTAGTAAGTATTTCTATGTTTTCCCCCTTTCAAGGTAAAAATCCTGGTGAATGGTAAAGATCATCAAATTACCAAATTCTCATCTCATCATGAAACATCTAGTATCTCTTTTTGCTTCAGGGTGGCTGCAATTTTAACTTATATAAGGGAAAAGAGTATTGCAGATGTGAGATCTTAAACATGTATTCAGGGTCTCAAGTACTGGCATTTGATTCCACAGATGCTGTTATTTTTTGTAAAGCTAGATATTGTTCTTTTTAGTTCCAGTATTTCTCTTGTCCCCTCATTTCCAATTTAGGCCTAAAGGGTGATACAGCCGGAACAGTTTTTTTTTTGAAAATGCATTATTTTTCTCAAGAATGATTAATTTCTTTGTTTAGGAAAGTTCCTTGAACAGCACAATCCATAGCCATCATCTTTTACAGCCATCGTGTTTTTCAGTCTCTTGGCAAAGATTAAAATACGGTTACTTCAAAAAAACTACTAGTTTGACCCAATCAGCGCAGCATCCTGGGGAAATAGTATAGCACATAGAGTTATCTTCTTTAAGTAGATTATGATATTCTAAAATAGTCTAGCACATAGAATTCAAGGAGCTAGTTTGGGGACGAAGGCTTTTGTTTGGTCACATAGGTCAAACCATAATATCTTTGTTGTGCTAGCAGATGTTTCATGAGTAGTATGACTCTTCTTAAGAAAGCAAATTAGAAATTATTAACATAGTTTGCGTTTACATCTTTCAGATTGCTTGTGCAATGTGCAGTAGGTTTTTTAAACTGATTTCTGTGGTCCAACTGCAATAAAACTGTCCTGGACTATCAGAGTATTAATTAATTTTTATTTTCAATATAATGGACAGGACGCAGAAGATGACAATTTTGCAATCGTGTTTGCGGCTATGGGAGTAAACATGGAAACAGCACAGTTCTTCAAACGAGATTTTGAAGAAAACGGTTCCATGGAGAGAGTGACCCTCTTTCTCAATCTGGTACCTTGACTAGTCCTCATTGCATCATCTTATCGTGGGCTTGTGTTATGTTTACAGTATTTGTTGAGTTATATCTTGGAAAATTAGAATAAGTCAACATTTGGAGCATCTTACATTTTCCTCCTGCTAATATGGTCCACATTGCAGGCAAATGACCCCACTATTGAGCGCATTATCACCCCTCGAATTGCTCTAACTACTGCAGAATATTTGGCTTACGAGTGTGGGAAGCATGTCCTTGTCATTCTGACAGACATGAGCTCATATGCGGATGCACTTCGTGAGGTAATGTACCTGCTAGTTTCCTTAGCAAATGGATTTTGCAGAAAAGCTACTGTTGGTTTCTGCATTTGTCGTGGTCAATTGCCTTTGTGGCTGGCTCAAGATAGAGCACTATCATAGTCTTAATCTATAAAGTGAATGCAGAGGATTAATTTTTTACTTTATATTATCAATTAAAGATATCTAGAAGGTTTGATGTCCTTTTAACAGATAAGATTGCACTGTAATCAACAATCCATATAGGCTTTCTTATGTAGCTTCTTTTGCCATTGGTTTTGCTTATTTGTCATTATATATGTCATTCACTATTTTGGAACCTTGGTGCTGTTTTTCCTCGACTTTACTTTGATCACAATAAATACTATAGTCATCTCTTAGGGGCTGTTTGGTTCGCTATTATAAGGGGTGGAAAACTCAGAAAACCTCTCCACGTCAGCTTTTTTGTTTCCGTCCATTTCTTTGTGTCGCTTTGGTTCGCTCGAATGGAAGAGGGAAAACTCTGCTGAAATCGCCGCCAACTAAGATTTTTTCCCTCTCCGATTTCCTTCCCCAACCAAGTGAAATTGATGAAAACTCTGCCACGTCAGAATTTTTTCCTTCTCTGCTTTGTTTACAAAAGTTTTCCTTTTTTTTCTATGCGAACCAAACACAAGAAAAAAAAATACATTGGTTTCCCACCATTTTTTATGTGCGAACCAAAGCAAAACAATCTATTTCTTGGAAAAGTTTAGAAAACTCAAAACTTGTGTTTCTTTACATGGAATTGCATTTCTCTATATCAAGGAAACGAACCAAACAGCCTCTTAAAGAAAAGTTCAGTTGGAATTTTAAACATCTGAATCAGTTCATATTTGGTTTGAAATGCACGACATAAGATATCTCTGATTTTGACACCTGTAACACCTGAAGAGAACGCTAATAATCTTCATGAACTGTATTCAAACTTCTATTTTGGTCAGGTATCTGCTGCTCGAGAAGAGGTGCCAGGTAGACGTGGTTATCCCGGGTACATGTATACTGATCTGGCGACTATATATGAACGTGCTGGGCGTATAGAAGGAAGAAAAGGCTCCATTACTCAAATACCTATCCTAACCATGCCTAATGATGGTAAGTTACAGTAAAGCCTTGCTTCATGTATATATTCATCTATGGGAGAAAGTTTCACATATGATATTCCAATACTATGGGCTTGTTGTGTGCTGTGGAAAGCACCTACTGTGCAGAATAAGTTTAATTCTTTTTCTGCTGTTTCCTTTTTTGCTGGCGCTAAATCTAATGATCTTGAACTATCACATGAAGTGTTTATCTTTATTTACTGGATGCTTCTTCTTGAACAATACTAAATCTTCTTTCTGAACAGATATTACACATCCAACTCCGGATCTTACGGGGTACATCACAGAGGGACAAATATATATTGATAGGCAACTCCATAATCGACAGGTATTATTCATTAGACGTATACATATACTTCGATTTTTTACCATAACCTATTCCAATCCAGTATCATATCTAGCTTATGTATTAAAGACTAGCCTCTTATGAGATGTTATTAGTTTCTTTTATATGGTGTATGGTCTTTGTAATCTGAAGATGACTCTTTTGCTATCCGCAGATATATCCACCAATCAATGTGCTTCCATCCCTCTCACGGTTGATGAAAGTAGGTGAATTTTACGATTCATTGCCATTTATTCTAATCGAGCTTTCTGCATTCTGATAAAATGTGGTGTTTACCATTAGAGTTGATGCAAGAAAGTGAATTTTATGATTTATTGACATTTATCTGACAGAGTTTGTTTTGTTCTAGAGTGCTATTGGTGAGGGCATGACCCGCCGTGATCATTCTGATGTGTCAAACCAGGTTAATTGTCCTGCTAGAAGTTTTCTCCACTTTCCCCCAAAAAAGATAATAATATAAAAAATATTATCTTTATTTTCCCCCTCTTACACTGTGTTGCTTAATGCTCTAGTTGTATGCAAATTATGCAATCGGGAAAGATGTTCAAGCAATGAAAGCAGTTGTTGGAGAGGAGGCGCTCTCATCCGAGGATTTGGTAAGTCTACGTATTCGCGCATTAAAGATATATCTTTAAATTACAAAATTTATTTTGCTATTTTGCTAGCAATTAAAAATCTCCATTTTGCTGTATCTTTTCTTATTTCTTATGTGATCACAGCTCTATCTGGAGTTCCTGGACAAGTTTGAGAGGAAATTTGTAACGCAAGGAGCTTATGATACTCGCAACATCTTCCAGTCACTTGATCTTGCATGGACTCTTCTCCGTATTTTCCCTCGGGAACTTCTCCATCGTATACCTGCAAAGACGTTGGAGCTGTTCTACAGCCGAGAAGCTGTGCACTGAGCTGCCAATATATGTGCTTACTCGAGAATTTTACTGTGAGATGCCGTGAATAAATATGATGGGATTCTTTTTCACCTGAATTCTGCCCTCTGTTTCATTTGTGGGGCTACTGTAGTGTTTGGTATTTACATACTGGCAAGAAACGAATGGTTTAGCTTATGACTGTGTGCAAAAATTCGGCATGTATCATAATATTTTTAGAGGGAAAACACATTTCCAGGTTTGAACTTGTCTGCGTGTATTCTTTTTAATGAGAAGTGAGAATTGGCAAAGTAAAAGGGGAGTTTCCTATGTTTGTGATTTATCATAGTGCTGGAATTATTCAACGCTTACTGGTTCTTGGTGCTCCGCTAGAAGACGTCATGTATCACAGTAGCTGCATGCCTTTTTTTGGGAAATCTCTGTTTTATACACATGTTTCAGGGGGAGAAATATGTTGAACTTTTGTTTTGTTCTCTCAATAGAAATATTGATATCTTTTTAGTTGCTCACTCTATTTTGAACATAAAATAATAATAAGTATTATTATCATCATCATCATCTGAACATGCAGAAGAATTGAAATATTAGAAGGAAAAAAAATGGGTGTGGAAGTTGATTTTTGGTGGGAGGAGATTTTCACAGAAGCTGGAGGGTAGAAATTCTGGATGTTGGTTATAGTTGCTGCCACCGGTACTTCAAAACTCAATTTGTTAAGCACCGAAGTTGTTGGCAAATTTCATTACTTCAAGTCTTACTAAAATAATTCCTCAAAATGAAATCATCTTAAAATGTTTTTGTATTAATTTGTAAAGTATTATCTTCGAAGAGGGAAATTGTAAACTGCTCATGATGAGTCATGATTTGGACAAATTTTCAAAACCGACCCTTTGGGGTTTTTAATTGCAAAAAACGACCCATTTCACACTTATTTATAAAAACCGACCCCAGGGGCTGAAAACAGGTCGGTTTTTGAAAAAAAATTTCCCAAACTTCACGGGAGTTGAACTCCCGTGAAGTTTTGTTATGAGAAAAACTTCACGGGAGTTCAACTCCCGTGAAGTTTGGGAAAAAAAATTTCAAAAACCGACCTGTTTTCAGCCCCTGGGGTCGGTTTTTGTAAATATTTTCAAAACCGGTCGTTTTTTGCAAATAAAAACCCCAAGGGGTCGGTTTTGAAAATTTGTCCGTCATGATTTCCCGTAATTCACCATCAGCGCACCAGCAATAGCAACCACAGAAAAATAAAAAAAGAACGTATAATAAGTAAACCAACTTAAAATGCTCGTCTAGCTTTAATTCTTATTACAGTTCCAAAAAAAAAAGTTTTATTACAGTAAAAAGTAAATTCTGCACATCTAGCTATAATCCTCTATTTAAAAAGAAAGGGGGGAAAAAGAATTTTCCGTTTTAAGTTCGAGTATTTGAATGTGGAAGAGTGAAAAACGAAATAACAAATTAAAAGGACAGAAAAAGAAAAGAAATATAAAAGTAAAAGGGCGCAGAGCGAACCTGAGCCTGCGCATTTGGCGGCCATCGCCGGTTCCTATAAAACCCAAAACCTCAGAGTCCCAAATCCTCAATCTCTCCTCCGCTCCTCAAACCGTCATGCTGCTCGCAGCACAGTCGAAGGCTCTCCTCTCGCCTCTCCCCGAAACTTCATATCCCTCTCCTCATCACCTCCCTCCCCCCCCCCCCAAACTCCTAACCCTAAACCCTTCTCCTCTCAGCCCCATCCCCCCTCCCTCATCCCGCGAACTGCGATCTCCGACTCCACCGTCCACGACGTCGGAGCAGCCCCGCCTCCCTCTCCTCTCGCCCGGATGCGGCGTCCGCATGCAGTCCGGCAGCCCTCCCTCCCCGCTACTTCTCCCACCTCCCCAAGCCCCCGACTACCACGCCCCCTCCGCGCTCCTCCCCCTCCCCCTCCTTCCCTCCCCCCCCTCAAGTCCGGCCTCCTCCAGCCGATACACAATCAAGAAGATCAAGAACCTGAGCCCACAACCGTCGGTTGTCTGCGCGAGGTGCATACTTTGCGCCATTCGATGGCGGTCAAGGAAACCCTCCGCGAGGCGCTCCTAGCACTGACTTCGACTTCGACCGCGCCGTCGCCCCGAAGATGCTCTCCCCCTCCGGCCCCCGCTCGCTCGTCCTCCTCCTCGTCGACGCGTCTGATTTCCACGGCTCCTTCCCCAAATCGCTCGCTCGCCTTCTCTCCGCCTCCATCGACAAGAACTACACCGCCTGGAAGGAAGGCAAGCCCGGGAACGTTCCCCGTGTGCTGCTCGTCGTCACCAAGTGCGACGTGCTCCCGCCTTCGGTCTCGCCGCAGAGGCTAGAGCCATGGGTGAAAAGACAAATGCACGAGTCAGGTTCTTTTCTGAAGCTCTCTGGAGTTCATCTTGTGAGTTCGGTGAAGGATTGGGGGGTGAGGAATTTGGTGGAGAGTGTGAGGGAGATGGTGGGGAGCAGGGGGAATGTGTGGGCGGTTGGGGCGCAGAATGCAGGGAAATCTACGCTGATTAATGCGATGGGAAGGTTCAGTGGTGGTGATGGTGGTGAGGGGAGGAGGGGGGAGTTGACAGAGGCGCCGGTGCCGGGGA